CAGATAATTAATAATAAAGTCTACTAGTACTTCTAGTTATATAATATCTTTAACTTCTAATAGTAGATCTCTGAATCTATTATAGACTTTAGTTTCTACTAGAGGGATATTAGTTCTTCTCTACTTTCTAATATTCTCTACTATTCTAATCTCTTCTACTTTAGATCTAGTTCTAAACTAAACTCTTTATACTATATAGTTAGATCCTATTAGTATATTATCTAAGCTTATATATCTTACTATTAAACTATATATAGTCTATATTAAGTTAATTATACTATTTCTCTTTCTATAGTAGAACTATATATATTCTCCTCTTAGTATTAAGAGGCTTAATTAGATCTATTCTATTACTATTATAAATTTATCTATCCCTATAGTCTTTTAATTATATTTATTCTATAGTAAGTTATAGATATTTATATCTCTAAGAAATATATTATATTTATCTAGATCTAGTTTACTAAGAGCCTGGATTAAAAGCTAGATAGAGACTAAATCTAGTAGGTTATATATATTCTAAATTTTAACTTTATACTTCAGTATTCTAACTATATACTAGTTTTTATTTACTTCTACTTTCTATATCTTAGATCTATATATATTTTATATATATATTATATATCTCCCTTCTCTATATATTATTATATATTCTAATCTTACTAAATATACTAGAGTATTTTTATTCAGAAGTATTATTATCTTTTATACTACTATTATATTATATTTAGTCTAGGCCTAGAGTACTTTCTTTATATTACTTAGTATCTTTTATATATTCTATATAACTATATCTAATATTATTAGAATAGACTTAGTTAGAATCTAGTTATTACTTATCTTAAGGGGCTATCTAGATTTAGTATATTTCTATTTTTTTTTTTTTTTTAGGGGTCTTTACTATATATAAGGGATATCCTAAGATCAGGCTATATATAACTAGCTCTATATAATTTGTTTTTAACTAAGTTTCAGTCTGTATCTAATCTTTAACTCTATTTTTTTTTACTTTTTTATTTATATAAGCTAAAGTAAGGTAACAGTATCTCTAAAAACTCTAAGAAGGGCTTACTAAGTATATAACTTAGCTATAGGCCCTAAAGGGGGATACTTATTATCTATAATTAATTATAATACCTCTCTAAGCTTATTATTATTATTACTAACTACCTCTCCTTATAATAATAATAAATACCTCTGATATTATTATCCCCTGCAGCTAGAGCTCAGTTATTATAAGTAACCGGGTCCTTATATATATAATAGTTATTATTAATAAGAACTATTAGGATCTCTTTTCAGATATTAATTATTTAAGCCTGTAATCTATTATAGGTTTACTTATAATAATAAAACTACTCTCTCTTATATAGATCTAGTAGTTATACCTACTAGGACTATTACTCTATCTTCTTATAGCTAGTAATAATATAGAGATAGACCTGATTATTAATATACTTACGGAGGACTATAATAATATTCCTCCAGTACTTAATTACTACTATAACCTAAGTTACTATATATAGTTCCAGCAGGTAATATACTGGGTTAAGTTAATCCGGACTAAGGTAGCTCTTTAAGTTTAATATCTATTTTAGTTAGTAATATCAGGCGGAAGAGAATTAAATCAAATTAAATTAAATTATTAAAAAGTTTATCGGATAGAAAAGTTAAATTAAATAAGGTTAATATAATAGTATCCGGAATATAGTAGATTAGTTAATCTAATACTACTATAGATTATTTAAAGAAAATTATAATAGCTTGTAAAGTTACTATATACTAATAAAGACTAAATATAGTTTATATAGTAGATTTCTATTTTATATTTAGTTAAATATATTAGTAATATTTACCTCTTATATTATATTAATAATAATCTTTATCTTTTAGAATATTCTAATTATAACTTTTAATCTTTAGTTAGTTATTCCTACTAGATAGTCTAATTTCCTTTTTAGTTTAGCTATTAGATTAAATAGGGTTTATTACTATTACTATATAGTTTTAACTTAGTATCCAGAGCTTAGCTCTAAGTTATTTTTTTTTAGTATTATAAATCCTATTAAGTAATTACTATATACTTCCCTTATTTTCTCTTTCTTCCTACTTAGTATAGAGTAGGCTTATATCCAGACTAGGTATAATCCTTTATATAGTATATATATTAGTATATCTCCTCTAGTTTCTACTAGATAGAGCTCTCTAGTTAGATATACTTTAGCTATATATTAGCTATATTTTACTTACTTATTATAATAGTATACTATATAGCTAATCTTATAATAGTTATAATATTAGTATAATTATATAGCTTTATAAAAGAGTTTATATTAGCTAATTTTAATATTTATAATTATTCCCTATTTATATAGTATATTTACTTCTTCTAATAAGATTATACTTAGGATCAGGTTCTACTTTAGTATAGTTTTATTTTATTTCTATATTAGTTTTACTTTTATAATTTTAACTTAGTTTATCTAGTTTATTTCCTTCTAGAGTACTTTAATATTTTAAATAATTATTATAGCTCTAATTCCTTTTATTATTATTATATATTATCTCTAACTTAATTTTACCTTCAGACTAAATATTACTTTTATTTATTCTTTATTTTTTATATTCTATTTAATCTCTCTATAGAATATAATAGTTATATTACTACTTCTTAGTTTTCTAATTATAACTACTTTAGAACTAGTCCTTCTATATATATTAATTACTTTAACTATATCCTTTAGATCTCTATCTCTTATATTTATTTAGTAGTTTTTAGTTTAGATAGTTATCTTATAGATATATTAGATTAGAATAGACTTTAGTTTATTATTAGTATATATATATATTAGATTTATACTAAATATAATCTAAGCCTAGATTAGTTCTAGGCTTTCTCCCTTATTATTAGATATCTTTTTAATTATTTCTTAGATAGTTTTAATAATTATTATTTAGATATTCTTTATAACTTCCTAGATTATTACTTCTATACTTAGTTCTATATATTTATATATTAACTCTACTCTAAATAGAGGTTTTATAATTTATTATATCTATTAGACTACCCTATTAGATACTAGTTTAGTAATTTATCTATAGACTTTCCTTATAGGGTTCTCTTTAATATACTTCTCTCCTAGATTTATCTTAGGTTTAGTATATCTCTAATCTAGTAGAATATTAGAAAGATCTCTCTAAGGGTAGTAGATACTTAATTCCAGACTATAGTATCTACTATTAACTTCTATTAAGTAGTATTCTATACTATTAGATTATCTTTAGTATAGTATTAGTTTTAGATTAATTTAACTCTATAGAATTAATTACTAGGTTTATTTTTAATTTTAATTAGCTCTCTATAGCTATATCTAGTTTATAAGTAAAATTACTTTTTATTATATCTAGTTACTTATAATCTATTATATTATTATAAATAATTAATTAAATAAATAAATAATTATTATTATTTACCCTAGGTACTAGGTCTAGCTAGTTTCTAGTCCCTCTGTCTAATCTTTAATAAGGAAAAACCTTATATATAGGATAAAAACCTTATTCTGTATATTTCCTCTGCGGCTTTAACTGGGTACTAGTACAGCTTCCAGTCCTCTGCTTTCCACTGTTTGTCTACTTTGTTTCTATCTTAGCTCTCACCTGCTAGTTAGTATTAATAGGGTAGTCTTTGACTTATATCCTGTACGGACGTGACTTGGCTCTGATAAATAAATAATTAAATAAATAATTAATTATTAAGATAAACTTTAAAGTTCTAATAGAAAGAAAAAGTAATTATTTATTAAATATAGCTCTATAATTAAATAAATATTATCTATATATAATTACTACTTTTATAATTATAGAGTAATAAGAAAAAGAGATAACTAATAACCTTTATAAATAGATAATAACTAGTAATTATCATGCTACGAACAGGGGCTGCACGGAGCCCCCTATAAAAGAGCTGTAAACAGCCAGTAGATAGAAGAAAGGCAAGCCTTAAGAATTATATTATCTCACACCCAAGTGAAGGTATTGTGAACCTAGGTTTTAACCATAAGCTATCCGACTATGGCTACCCTGTAGTCAATAACCAAGAATCTATCTACTATGCCCAAGCCGGTTGCGGCCAGTTTAAGCATAACAGTAATAACAATATAAATATCTTAGATAACTTAACTCTATCTAGAGCTCTAAAATATAGCTATTAGATCTAGATTGTTACGCTATATAGGCTCTAATACTGCTGTAGCCCCTAACTAGAAGGCTGCAGCAGGCCTTTTGCCATAGGTGGTTAGAGCACCTTTTGGGTATAACATAGATAGAGATTCTAAGAGAATTCTTCTAATATTATTATTATTATTAGATAATAAATTTTCTTTTTTAGAAGCTATAGCTATAGCTAGACTATTTATATATCTAGCTATATAAATAGCTTTTATTATTAGAGTTTTTAAAATATTAATATTTATATCTAGGCTAAAAGTATAATATTTAACTTTATTCTATAGAGCTAAAAGTTTAAATATAGATTATTAATTATATTTTTAAAGGATTATATAATCTAGTTATATATTATCTAATATTAAAAAATAATTATATATATTATAGTATCTAAAAAAAATAAGCTAGAATTTTTACTATTAGTAACTAGCTTATTACTCAGATTTAAAAATAGAGAGAAAATATTAAAAAAGTAGAGAAATTCTATATTCTTTATAACTTTTATTGCCCGGTTATAGTAAGAGTAGCTGTAGTAGCAGGAGAGAGCTATTTTAATCTGATCTAACTGAAAGTTAAATCGAGTTAAATAACCTGAATATATACTAACTAAGTATATACCCTATACCTGTAGGGATATTATTAATAAGAGTATAATTCAGACGTGTTTTATTCTTACGAAGTACTAATATAGACAGGGCAGCATAGGCAGCATATCCAGATACAACTGCTTAAAAGATTATTATCTACCTCGCCGAATAGAATTCACGATCATCCGCTCAGGGGTATCGTGCCTTGATCCTGTCATACTCGGCCTGCGTAAGTGGGAACACGGAGCCGTGCTTCACACCACCAGGGAACCCGTTCCTATTCGAAGGCGTCCAGATACCAGGGTTTAAAATGTTAGTAGTCTGGTAGGGGAGATATTGGACGTAGTCATCCAGCCAGAGATGATACAGATTCGGGTCCAGGTTGTTTCGGAAGGCCACAGCGCCCTCACGAGGGGTCTCGTTACGAACGAACCCAGGGATACGAGTCCAAGACCCGAAGAGCCCGCCCGTGGTCCTCTCCTGGAAGATCTGGTTCGTCCTCTCATCCTTAATGAAGCGAACGTAGTGCCCCGGCTGGCCCAGGTACAGGAACTCCTGGTCAATGACAGGGATGTCGGTCGGTGTGTAGTAGTCTTGGGGCGCGCTGAACGTGACGAAGTCGCGCGTGGTGGCATACCGGATGCGGTCGAGCCCGGCGAGGCCCGTGTGGTTGGGGTCGTTGGCGGCATAGTGGCGCGAGGACCAGAAGACGTAGTACTGGCTCGTGGCGTCGTCCCAGACGGCGGAGGGCGCCCAGGTCATGCCGGCCGTCGGGCTCTCGACGGTGCGGAGGTTGGGGCCGGACCAGTTGACGAGGTCGGTGGAGCGCCAGACGACGATGCCGCGGCTGCCGGTGCGGGTGGCGCGGTCCCAACTGAATCCGGGGGCGTTGATGTCTAGATCTAAGTTGAGTCAGTACTGAATTCTAAGTCATGGACTTCGAGGGGGAGACAATACCCGTGGCGATAATAAAGTACTCGGAGCGGGCGCTGTTGCTGGTCAGGTAGATGTCTCGCACCGCCCGGGTGCCCACCGTCGAGGTCAGCACGGGGTTGCCGCCGTTGAGCTTCCGGTAGCTCAGAGGGTCGTTGCCGTTAGAGAGATACTGCTGAACTCTCGGGACAGGGTCGGAGAAGGTCGATATGAGGTATCCGACGAACTGCTGCTGCCGACGGACGGGGCTGGCCGTGACGGTGAAGCCCAAGAGGGCTACCAGGAGGCCGATGAGCCACGAGTAACGCATGGTCACAGAGACAAGACTAGCTTTGCCGACTTTGGTGTGCGACTTGACTTCTCTGTTCCTCTCAAAGGCTATCTTTTCTCCGTTGCTATCTCAACTTAACTTACCTCTCTGGTGTAAGTCATTAGACCGTGATCCTTTTATGTGTTCCTATACTTGCTCTTGACAACGGTAGCCGGAGGTCCTTATAGCTACGGTCGAGGAATAATCTACCTAGATAAGGCCCTTCCCAGTCTCTCCTAACTGGAGCGCGTCTGACATAATTACTAGGATATGTAACCCCTACTTAGGACCTCCCGTTACATCGTTAACAAGCAATTCGGACAGGGGTCCCTCTCCTCGCCTATTTTCCACCAATTATATACCCCGATCTCCCCATTTCAGCAGTTGTCTTTTGTCGGAATCACTGGGTTAGGATGGAGTTATGAGAAAAGAATGTTGTATCCGTCTCTTTCATGCCTCCCCTTGCCCTATGTCGTCAGGGATGTAAAGGGCTCGGTTAACAGGACTGATGCCCGTCGGATCCAGCTCGCGGGCCCTGTTTCCTCAGCTCTTCCTTGATCGAAGCTAGACATGCTTCGAGAAGGAGGGTTCTATTCGTTCGCTTCTAAGGTGTATTGTGGGGATTGGGGAATCCTAGAAGAGGATCTACACGGTGGACTCTTTATAGTAATACAATATACCCTCCCCAGTCGAGGTGGCGATGATCTTGGCCGCTGGCTATATTATAGCCGCTTGACTCTAAACGGAGTACGACCTCACTAATATACAATTTACCCCATCTACTATCCAGACAGTCCGAGGCTTTCCACTTCGATCAGACCGGAGCGCTCTTCCGTGCATCCCTTTGAGACATTTGCCTTCTCCCTGGTCGAAATGTCAGCTCTAGTATGTCTACGATCATCGAAACTTCATGCATGAGGCAAATCGATGAGCTGGTCCAGACAATTCCTCATTAAAGCAATCAATCGCTACCAAAGTGAACCCTTCCGAAAAGATGCACCAATTAATGCACAACGACGAGCGGATCTCTCATCTATTGCCTCTTCACATGGGTTAAATGTGACTTCCCTGTCTAAGACAGACACGTGGTAGGGAATGCCCTAGCGGTTGGGATTACCACAATCTCAAGCCGAAAATGGCTCTTTATCTGCTTGTTACTTTATCTCAAGCCGAGTGAGGGGGAAATGGCTCCCGAGTCACCTCTGATAAACATTTGTCTCTGTGTGTAACTATCATATCTATTGAAGTACTCAAATCACTTCACACTCGGTTACTTGAGGTAGCAAAGACCATTTCCCTGAGACCTTGACGCACCATGTCTCTACTAAAGAAGCATGACAATATCGAGGATTATGTTACAGTATACTCACAAAAGTTGTTGTCATTTACACTGTGCCGACGTTTAGTTGACCGCCGACAATTTCGTCGCAGGTTCTCTAGGCTGTACCATCCACCAGTTTCATGAGGTACGGACTCATCGGAATGGAGAAACCGCCACTTGTTGGGTTTTCCTGGGTACCAAGTGCATCCTGTGGTCCTATTGCTCCATAGGCAAAGGGGCGTCGCTCCGGATCCGTATGCTTCTCCATCAAGTTGCTATTGCACGTCGGTGCGCTCCAGTGTCCGGCGTCGCCAAGAACGACTCCCTGTAGAGGCATAGAAGATTTCTCGGTGATCGGAGGAATGGAGCTGAGGCATTGCTCCAGTAAAGCCGCGTAATATGAAGCTAGATGGAGGTCGTCAGGTTCATCCTTCTTGAGAGCCTCAATGACTTGTTCAAGGGCACTGCGAGATGCTACCAGCTTGGCCTTTTCGATTTCGAAACCTAGAGCCACTACGATCAATGCGGAGGCGAGTGCGATGCGCATGAAGAGGTTCTCGGATCCGTACACGAGGGCATTGTGCTGCGCTAGGCGCGTTGCTAGATGGAGAATCTCGAGCGATGCGTCAATTATAACACGTGCATATTGCCGCTGGCCGGCAAGAATGTCGGAAGTAGCAATATCTTCTTGACTCCAAAGGCTCGTGTTGTGGCGAGTGAGGGCACGGAGACCCGCAGAGGCTGTGATGATCTTGACCGTTTGGTGCTCGGCGATCATAATATCCTCACGCTGAGCGTCGACCTTGACGGCTTCGCCAGATGCTGCAGTGAAAATTGTATTAGTCATGGAGGGTACTGGACGGTTGGGAGCTCACTGAGCCTACCAAAGCTTGCTAGAAATCTCCTTTCCCATGTATCCAGAACACAAAGGAAATGATCCACCATCTCCGTGCAACGTGCCGACTGGAGATAGACTTGGTCAACAGTGGTTGAGGGGGGGAGGGTATCGAATACCATCCTGGAAACTCGTGCGAGCTCCGAACGTGCATCCATGAACTGGTCGAACGATTCGTCAATAATCTCTTGTGATTCTTTCGTAGTGATGCTGCCGAGGTACGCATTTCGTGGGACCAATTGCTTGGAACCAGTGCGCATCAACAGATGCTCGCTGTAAACGTACAGCACCTTGCAAAGGGGTGATCGCCGTTTCCGCAGTCGAAGTTCATGCTGGTATGGGTTTATTTTTATTGAGTAGGGCTCGCTGTCAACGTTGCCACTGATGCACAGCTCGTTGGCAAGGGTGATGGCGCAGCTTAGAATCATGAGGGAGAACCTGTCAGACTTCTTCGCCCTGTCAGCAACTTCTTTGGCCAGTACTTGAGGCGCAGTTCTGGCAGCTGATGAGCTGTCACTTGTCTGTAGCGGTTCCCATGTGTGAGAGTCTGTACAATCCTCCAAAGGCATCGGTGTCAAAAGCGGGAGCGGATGCCATTCAAGAAGCAGAAGCAATGCCTCGACGGTGCCTAGCGTGCGTAACCCTGAGCCAAAGTAATCCGATTCTCCAAATACAAGCTGTGTGATGAAGCGTTGGCAGTATTCCCAGAGTCGGAAGTGGATCAGCTGACACCTTGAGGCCCCTCTCGTGCCCCCGAGGTGATGATGGCGCGAGGACACGGTCAAGATGGCGCAGCTGAGAAACTTTTCGTGAGAGACCAGGATGTGATGGCTATCATGATCGGCGAAAAAGCCATCGAGGATCTGGGATTGTGGAGCCATGTGCATGAAGAACCTAGTTTTTTCATGTTATAACGACTGCATGTGGAACTCACGATTCATCACCTGCAACTTACCTGTCGACAAGCGATATCGCTTCTTCGGGGAGAAGCAATCCCATGCGTACGAAGGGGCAGTCCTTCCACGCGCGTAAGGCATGATCCGTGGGTACACCGTACATTGGCAACCGCATTGTGTTCAGCGGCGGTGTTTCGGAGAAGCTAGATGGCGACCTACGTTGGGCCTGCGTAATGGGCAAACAGTCTGTCAAGTCGAGAGGAGACCAACTTGCACTGGCCATGTTAAAGAAATCTCCGGAATTGCTCGAGAGGCTGTCCAGGAGGCTGTTCCCTGCGTACAGTTTCGCAGCCTCTCCAAAGGAGTTCTGCTCCCAGAAGGAATCATCTAAGACGCCGGAACGAACGGCATCTGGCTGCTGGTATAAGTCTACTTGTCCAAACGAGAATAAGTTAAGGTTTGAGGGGGCCGGGTTGGACTGGAGGCGACCCCGGCTGGACGCTGGGGATGCATTGATCTCCATCTGGCGGACGGGGTCATGAGATGGTAGGTCAGTAGACTCGCTACACGCCGTCTCCTTGGACAAGAAACGTTCTTTGCTGAAAATGCAATGTCGCATCTCACGGCGGCATCTCGCACAAGGCAAGCCAGCCGCGTGCGCCTCGGCCGAGATTTCGCACCTCGTCTTTTTCTGTCGGCAGGAGATGCACGCTAAGTCGGATGATCATCCGTTGTCAGTACATAACTAACACAAGCAGTGAAACAAGCGGCAGAGAAGCGGGGGGAGGAGGTTGAGGCCAACTAACCTTTATATGCTCTCCGATAACCCCGCGACCGAGGCCCTGCCAGAAGCCCCTTATGGCCGTCACCCTGTCTTTGGCTCTCGTTGTATGCGGGATACATGTCGAGATATTTTGGGATCGCAGTCGAACACAGGGGGAGTTAATAAGAGCGGTTGTGGAAATCAAATCTATGAAGAGGGTTGGGGGTCCGGGGAATCTGGGATTTTACGGGTTTTACAACTCCGGGGAACAGGGGTGCGGCTATTCCTGTTACGACATAAACGTGTGGAGACGAGAAACAGAGCTAATGGATGGAGCGGGGTAAGACTGGGCCGAGGTTCAGAGTTCATTAGCGGGAGTTTCTTCGTCTATATTCTCGCGAATACAAAAGAGTCTAACGGTAGGTTTTACTTTCTTTTATAAACACTGTAAGCGCGATATCCAATCACAGAGCATAGAATAGTAGGACTAAAAGATTTATTGAAAACTGCCTTGCTTCTTCAATTTCAACCTGGAAAATTCGCCTTCCTTTATAGACGGATTTCCTCTGGTTAGATACGCATATATACAGTTATCTAGATCGCTTTCCCTATCGAAACAAAGCGCCTCTTTTATCCCTTTTCCGTTGAGGCTGAGAGGCGTTGCGCTATATAGGCTTCGGGTGTTCTTCGGGTGGCGCCTGACTAAGCTCTGCGCGCTTTCGGGGTATATACCGAAAATGCGCCTTGCCTGTTTGGTCCGCGCTCCAGTCAATACATCATTCTGGAATACTGGAGACACCGTCTTGTCTGTCGGTCGGTCATGGGCTCTTCTGCGTAATAACGGGCAGCAAGAGATGGCTGTCGAAGTCGCCGCCGAACCAGATTTTGACTTCGCCAAAGTTGTGACTGTGGGATCTCCTCGACACCATGGCTATGTTTTGGTCGAAAAAGGAATGACCCTGGACGACCAATCGTAGAGTCTCGCCCGCCTCCCAGATAGTGCTGCTAGGCCAGATCTCAACCTCGACTTTGACTACGTCACTTTGCTGCAGCCACAGGCGTCTTTGGTGGGTGTGTACCGGCCGCCCAGGGACGCTAGCCGACTCGTCCTTTTCGCGATGCGAAACGCGGAGCCAGCCGTGCATGGCGGATGCCTCGGCGATCTGGGTTATGTTGTACCACATGACTTGTTTGCCGTCCTTTGACAGCTTTTGGACAGCGACGTACAGGTCAGCGTCGGGAGACTGCAAGGCTTGGAGATGTAGGGTCAGGGAGCTGTTGCCCGTGATCTCTGTGCGGGTTTGGAATTTGTGCTCCCACTGGACGGATGAATCTGGGTGATGGCTTGTAAAAGACACGCTCCCCGATGTGCCAGGCGTAGATGTCGCGTCTGATACCAGCCTGCCATCCGCACCAAGCGCAAAAGCAGTGAGCTTTGATGTCGGCGGAGGCCAGCTGGGCTCAAATCGGGTCACGGCCTTGCCGAACCGCTCTCTTGCCTCTAGCTCCACGGGCGACCACTCATCGACCTCGTTCACTTTGTCTTTCAGGAAGCGGTCCCAAAAGGCCTTTTGGCGACGCTGACCGTCGGGGGAATAGTAGGCTTCCCATTCCCTGAGGCTCTAATTATGTCAAGAGAAAGAGTGAGCCTAGAATCCTCAAGTTTGTACCGAAGAGGACTGGAGGTCTTACGTGAACCCATAGATACTTTTGTGCGCTTTCAAACGCGTTCCAGGAGCCGATAGTCCCCCGCAGATGCAACGCAAGTGAAGACCACCCAGTCACCGAAAAGGCCGGGATATCGATCTTCGACCAGTCTACAACCTTGGACGACCATAAGTCCGTGAACATTGGCTGTTCCAGAGGCATCGTCGCTGCATTCTCATTCCAGCCCAGGCTATTTCCTGTAAGACTCATCCAATAGTGCTGGAAAGGGACACTTGGAATCCCCCCCACGACATTAACCTCTCGATAAATATCGGACATACCTTCCCAAGCCATAATAGCGGCAAGGTGAGGAGGCTTCAGCACAGCCGTCTGATATATTGACATGGCGTAGTAGGAGACTGCCCCCCAGCCAACTTTGCCCGTATTCCTGTAGTTTGCAGAATACAATCAGCAAACGTATACCACTGACCAGCGACCACTTCGGCCTGTGTAAAGAAGGTGCTCACCAGTCCTGTTTAGCGATCCATTCGACAATATCATACCCATCTCGACCTTCCTCCGGAGAGAAGTAGTAGGCAGCCTCACCTTCGCTCCACCACGTACCTCTCGCATCGACCAAAACCAAAGAGTAGCCATATTCGCCACACCACACCAAAGGGTCGGGTAGTTCCCAGAGTGTATGCTTACTTAGTGACTCGAAGTCCACTCCCATGTTCTGGAAAAGATCCGTGGGTATACCGCCATGTTTCCCAAAGGGAGAAAACAGCACAATAGAAGGTGTCTTTTTAACAGTCCCCGCAGTCGGTCGGTAAACATTGGCGTATAGTTTGATACCATCACGCATGGGAATAGCTATATCCTTTTCCAAGATGGTTTTCTCATCCCCTAAAGATATGATTTCATGGTGGAGTGGTGGCGCCGGCCTCACCGGGGCTGCGACCTTTGATCTCACTGTTAGCAGGTCCTCCGTCCTCCTCCGGCTTCCTATCCCCGAGGAAAGAAATGACCACTCACTTTGGACGGATGTACGCCTTTCCGCATAGGCGGGTTGAAGCTGGATGTATGAACTTCCATTGTGTCTGACAGGGCGATTTCCTTATTTGTCATTGCAGGTCTTCCTTGCCGTGGTCAAAGCAGCTACTTATACAGGCTCTCTGTGAATTCAAATACCAGGCCCGTGGTTCGTCTCTGCTGGCTGCGTTGCCAAGGGATGCTAAGCACGACCCGGCTTTGCATGAGAACCCGACCGCCGGATACTCCAGGAATCTTTGGAGATTCCGTGCCGGGGTGACCCTTGTGATGAGGTGAAAGTGGGGGCACCTCTTTGAGACGGAGATAAGAAGTGACCGAGGCGGGGTAGCAAATTGACCCGAAGCAGATCTTCTAACGCGTATCTCATTGCACAATTGGCTTGCTGAACCGGCGTTTCCATAGCCGCCGTAGATGTGGTTTGTGAGGTTACTGGTGGTGTGGACTAGTTACTCCAAAAATGCCCATCCGTAGGTATCTATTCCTTGACACGCAGCGCCTCTCCGTGAAGGAGGGTGTAGTCGGCCCTCGGATCCATGCCATTCTTCGCGTAGGCAACTAGCATCTCCTTGAATGGCTTTCGTCAATCTCAGATGGAATTTCTATTCGGTACCCTGTGCTTTCCTAGGTCTGGATGGGCGAAAGCATGCAGCTCCAGCGGGTATGCTTCCCTGTTCCCCACATAGCCGGCGTTTCCAGAGATTTCCGGTTGCTGCCGGCGATACCAAAGCCAGCTGTGTTCTTAGCGATACACCCCGTGGCGTGGCAAGTAATCGCTATGTGACCCCTCTTTCGGTCTATATTTCAATTAAGTCGATCGACGGCCGATAAGACATCAGTGCCTCTACGGAGCACTGTTCATCTGACAATCTGCTTACTCGCCCTCTGTGATCATGTCGTCTCACTGGAACAAGTTCTACATCATCGGCGCCGCTGGAGGGGAAACCCCACTGGCAGAAGACCTATACTACCACTGGGGCGTCGTCCATACTTCGTTGTTTCTGGCGACCAACTCGCCCATCGAGAACTTTGTTCGGTACGCGCAAAACTATGCCAACCCGGATGTTCCAGACGACGCCCGTCTCATACGCAGATGTCCTACCACCCGATACAGAATGCTTTCGGATCATTGGGCAAACACCTGGAAGAACGTTGAAAACTCAGTGGAGGACCCAAGCCATCGCAACCGCATGGGAAGACACAAGTTCGGGGATGTATCGACCATGCAATTCTTCTTTGGCTCAGGCGGCCCGGTCCACCGCTCCCCTAGCTTTCAACACCCGGCCGGCTTGACGATTGCGCACTGGCTAGGCCTGCCGAAAGACGTCTCGCGGTCCGAAAGTATTGCAAAGTTGGCAAAACACCAGCAGTTGGTCATCTCCGCTCTTGAGAAACAGGGGGGAAGCTGCAAGTACACCGTCGATGTTTGCAACGACGAATTCAAGGGCCAAGTTGAAGCAGGAATCTTCAAGTCCTTCCCCCGCTTTGATTTTTTCGCGGTTGAACTCTTGCAGTTCGGCACCAAAGAGGAAGCTTTCTCCTTCACAAAGAGCTTCAAAGAAGAATTACGTGAGTCTTACGCGTCATTCATCAACCTTGAGACGAGTCACAGCCTGTACGCTGTGGAGCGGATTGTCTTGGACTTCACCGATGAGAGTAAGAATACCCAACCCTTTAATGTCCTTTGCATGCAAATAGCCTCCGATGCAATTTTAACACGCACTGATGAACAGACCCATCTACCAAAATGCCCTTACCAGTCTTCTTCACGGACACCAACTCCTGCGAGTACAAGATGCAAAATAATGACTGGAGGGCTCATGAACCTTCCTTTACCATGCTCGAGGGTACCGAGTGGGAAGCCTCTGCTACAACCCTGGAACGGGAGAGGGGCACCTACGTAAAGACATTAGAGGCCAAGGAAGACTGGAACTAGCATCTCATAAAATCAATCGTCCAATGCTAAATAGTCAAATTGCCAGGGAGGAGGAAGGAAGGAAGGGAGATAGATAGCCAGGCCAGTTAAATACAAGCCTATTTATCTCTCTTAAATATACGAACGTACACACATATACCTGTCCTCGTAGCCCCCCCGATGATACGTGAATATAGTGTTGCAGAGACAACGCGCTTCGTTGCTGTCAAAGTCTTTGATGCGGAATCTGGGAAAGAACAGCAGAAACTTGACCAGACGATGCAACCGCTTTCTGGCCATCCCCACCCTGGGCAGAAGTATGTAGAGAAGACTCTCGACTCATCCATGATCGATGGACCCAACGGGTCTCACTACTGCAAGGTACTTGAGCCATTGGGGACGGACTTGACTATGATCCTCGAGCGAATTGAAGAGGAGCGCATCGAATCTAACATGCCCAAGTTTTGGCTTGGCAGAGCACTGAAAGGTGATAGCTGGTCAGTTCGCTACGCCAAAAGAATCTGTTGGCAACTCCTCTCTGGGCTCGATTATCTGCACGGCCAAAAAATAGCCCATCGATATATTCGGCCACATAATGTCTTTACCGCCCTTCAGTACGACCTGGCCTCGTTAAGCGAGAATGAAATTCAGCGAGAAGTCTGGAATGATGGAAAGAGGGAAAGTTATGAGGCTCAAGAACATGAACACGACGCTGGGGTTAATGAAGATTATGAAGAGGCTGGCGACAAGGCTGACGACAGGGGTGACAAAGAAGGTCTAGACGATGATGAAGAAGGCGGCCGAGATTCTGCGCACCATTCTGTGGACGAAGAGGCAGAACAAAGGCAAGCAGAATGGCAACAGAGAATAGAGGAGCGACGCAAGCACAATGAAACTGCCAAAACGATTATACAAGAAAAATGGCAGACATTTCGGTTAGGTGACAAGTTGGCAATTCCACACTCTAGTGAGTGGAATAAGGCCAATCTCACCAATACCAGAGATGCCATTGGATTTAGTGTGCGAACCGATGGCCAACCGTTGAAGCTAAACGAGGCCCAATACACCGTAGCGCCAACGGCTCTATCCAATGACCTCGATTTCAATAAGCCTATCCGGGTTCTCCTTGGTGACCTCGGCTTCTCCTGTACCTTTGATCAATGCAATACAAACCCGATCGTCACCCCAGCCACCTATATGCCACCAGAGGCCCTGCTCGATATGCCAACGACTCACAAGGCTGACATATTCTCGATGGGCCTTCTTTACCGGAGAGAGTTTTGATAGAAAGTTAAAACAAAAGAAGAAGTCAGACCCAACAACTCAACACAATGAATAGGGCCTTCTTTACTAGCAGACTGTTATGATAGAGCACCTTGTCTGTCCAGAAAGCTTTACATTCGATGAAGACCCAGAGACGGTTCCCATGAGAAAAGTTTATGGGTAAATTCGCGATCTAGCTGGTCGACTTAGGCCAGTGCCCCCTGAGATTCAAGCACGCCTAGATAGCAAACATGCGACGAACTATATCGACGAGAGTGGGGGGTCACTAGGTTTGGACGCCTTTGAACCAGGCGAGTATCGGTATGGCGATATTTGGTATGAAACAAGGCCAAGAAAGCCCTTGGATATGACTGAAAGTGATCTAGAAAGTTTTGTGGGGATTATCAAGGACAATCTGCAATGGGACTCTGAATCACGCTCATCAGCAAGTAAGTTGCTTCAACATGAGTGGTTCAAGGATCTTGAGGCGTAGATTTGGCGCACGGATGTGAGTGGAAAGGTTGTTTATTCGGCCTAGATTGGAAGACATAGCTCATGAAAGTAAGCTTGTCAATCACATTGCCTGCCTACTTGGAATTCATACACAGTGTTGAATTTTACGTCTTATAAACCATGAACCAGACCCCATAGACGCTGCACAAAGCATTGAGGAAACTGTAAGACCGAGCTTAAACGCCGAAGCAATGGACGCGGTTACCAATTTACCACAGAAAGGCACCTCTCTCCCTTGAGCCTCTAAAGTGCTAATCTCTATCCGGCAACTACCGCTAGACTTTACTTTATTAATATATGCCTTGGTGCAGCCAATGAGATACCTCAAGTATGTGGGACCCTACGAGTTACCGACTCTCCCGGGAGGGCAGTAAAAGGAGATGCGCCATAAATAACGCAAGGTTGGCACCCGGTGGCTTCCTGCCTACCCCAAACTAGGGACCTGTGTTATTATCATTGGCGAAGTATACTTATCTGAGATAGAGGCCGCAAGATGGCAACGGCTGGCCCAGGAGAAGCAGTTCCCATGATCAATGAGCGCAGGAGAGCCCAGAATCGTTTGGCGCAGAGGAGACGCCGCCGTGGGTTTCACTCCACAAATGTCTGACTTGACTGCACCAGTCTTGACTAACCCTGTCGCCAGAAAAGCAAGCTGTTGAGAGGCAGGCCGCTCCTGGGCAAGCCCTACCTATCCATGCTGGGCTGACGCAAACCGGCATCCAAGCTGGCGCGGGACTTCCACCAACATCTGATGCGATAACCAGTCTGGAGGCAGTCGACTCTTTCCCATCGTTTGCCGGGTCCGACATGGCATCGTGGGGTTTCTCGCCGGCGCGGAATGATGACTTCTCGACACTGGTAGAATCCTGCGCGTCTACCATCTCGTCTGCGCATCCCCTGGGCCCTGTCGATACCGACTTGGCGCCTCCGCCGTCCACCTGGAGCCTTGAGACGCCCGAGGCCGCTAGGATGGCCGCCAGGGCCTTCTCGCGGACCGTCGTCCCTCGGCCTAGCCCGACCTTCTCCAACAACAGGAACGAGACCCTGATTCACACAGCTGCTAGAGGCAACGACTTGGCTACGCTGCAGCTCCTCGCCCAAGCTGGCCTCACTATTAACGAGCGCGACGTCCAGGGGCGAACTCCGCTTCATGCGGCATATGAGGAACACCACATGGAGGCGATACTCTGGCTGCTCGAACAGGGGGTTAATATCAATGCCGTGGATAATCTGGGTCGAACCGCTCTGTCCATGGCAGTCAATAACAAATGCCCTGTCGCGGTAAGGCTCATGTTATCTCACGGTGCGAGTCCATTCCCGACACAAACAGAGCAAGCGTGGGCATTGAGCAATAGCAACGAATAATGATTGATAAGTTCTTTTCCTAATAGTACATGCAAAAGGATAGATCAAGGCGACCTCATGATAAAAAGCTTCTTCTAGAATTCTGCTCCACGTACCACAGCGGCTACTCTTACCACGGAACCTCGTCGCCATCAAAGGTTAAGAACTTCCCTGAATGCGTCTCTCTTGTTGCAGCATCGATCTAACTCCTTGTCAATACCGAGGGTCTCGCTAATTTCATCTCTGAATCTACTCACAAGCTTCACAATCGCCTTGGCATTATCAGCGGCACTATGTGGCGGCTTCTCCATTCCAAAATGCTTAGCCCCGCGGGTGCCCATGTCGGTATCGAGGAATCTATCCATACTCATCAGCTATCACAATGCTTTCTCTCTCCTTCCGCGATGAAGCCCGCCCTCCCTTTTTATACTTCTTACCCTGGGTCCACCGCTATAGCTGTCAGCTTGGGGTTCTCGGAATGAATATTTAGGCTGAGGTGGTTCAGCGTGGCCTTGGACGCGCCGTAACCGAACCCCATGGGACGCCCTCCCATGTTCATAAACATAGCTTCGTGGTTCGCCAAGGACGCCACTGCCGAGCTGATAGATACCCACTTAGGGGTCGTCGCACGGTCAAGAAGCGGCTTTGTCGCCGCAAACAACGCCAGGGGTGCTACGGCATTGATAGCAAGGATGTTGGCAAAGTCTTCAGCATCGCCCTCAGCTGCCGCAGCTACTTTGCCGCCAGCAATGGCGGCATTAGCGATCACTATATCTAGTCTGGTAATACCCCAGGACTCGAGCTCGGCGACAGCTCGAGTGGGGTCGGCGAAGGAGGTAGACTCTATCTTGACTAGAACAAGCTTAGAACCAGAAGCAGCGGAAAGGTCCTCGAGGCCGTTAGATCGGGCGGCGGCGATATCGCGGACGCTGCCGATGACAATGTGGTTCGGCCGGGCGAGGTATGTCTGGACTAGTGCGTGGCCAACGCCTGTCGTAGTGTTAATACTTTTCGAAGGAGTTGCGAGACGACGGGGATCAAACCTCGGTTAGCACCAGTTATAAAGACGTTAGTTGTTGACATGGTGATGCGCAAGTTAATAAGGGCAAGCTGTAGGAACCGGAGTGCTGCTCATGTTCGGCCCAGAAGAGGTATATCCTATCTTCTTATATAAGTGCGATTTAAATGTTCCTATGTCATCCATATGTCCATCGGGTGGGTTCACGCAGTCCTATTCACTTGTGTCTGTACACGTCGACCGGAACTCATGATGCTACACTTTGCAAAGGGATGGTGACAGCAGGGTTGATGACTCCCGGCACGCTAATGCACTGTCATCAACCCTACAAGGCCGTTCTAGCGCGTCCCTATCGAAAGTAGCTGAGCAAATCTAGGACACCAATTTCTATAAGCGCGCGGAGGGTGACTGAAGCCCCACCTGCAGTGTCAGCTATTGTCAGCAACGATCCAGTGATGGTAGCCCACATGAACCATCGGCGGTTCTACCCCCCGAGCAGCTTTTCTGCTCTATGGAATTTCCCATCGACTTACAGTAGCCATCCATCAGATTGTTCTTAGAAAGGGAAGCGTCTAATAACATGTCCTACAGGGAATAGTCATCAGATCCTCCTTTGATAAGTCATGATGAGGCTTGGCGTCCAGACCTGCTTCACAGAGACATTCTGCTACTACCTGTAGCATGCGGATATTAAAATCTTGGTGAGCGAGGTAGAGTATCATCATCAATGAGGCGGAGTTGGAGCTCAAACTCCAAACCGAACTTGAAAGCTAGCCAACAACCGCGCCACGATTTAACCTTTACATACACTCGATCATGCTGAAATTTTCATTTCAACTTAAGTAAACACTCCTCAAACTCTGTCCCGAAATACTATTATTCTTCCAGGTTGCCACCAGTGAACCGAAAAGTCAAGCCTTTGACCATGTTCACTCCACCATGGGTCACGAGGTGGATCTCACATCTGACTACCTCGTAGGCACCCGTTTCATAGTATCGAAGGGCATCCTCTGCCTCTTTGTCCTGTACCAGAAATCCATGTCCATGAACACTTCCTCCGCCAAAGTCGTCCACAAGGGCTTTGTATTTACCTGCCCACGTCCCAAGGCGCCCACCTACAGTCCATGCTGGTATGAGAGACACAGAGTGGTCGGGACCCAGAAGTCGGCCTACACGATCTCCGTCTGCCAAGGTGCCATAGAAGAAATACCAGACAGGGTAGTCTTCATTACCCGGTTGGGGCTTCTGGTGATCAGCAATAGGAGGAGAAGACCTATTTTGTGGTAAAGTGGTGTCGAGGCCCAAGGTTGGATAGGCTGAGTCGTGGGATAGATCCTTGCGGGCTCTTGATATTGAGATAATGGTTGTTGAGCTTCCTGTTGGTAGGTTTGCCAGGATTTTTTCTTTGTCTTTACCGTTAATGACAGCAAACGATTCGGTTGTATCTCCCTGATCCGTCTTGATTTCCGGGAGCGCCGGGAGCTCTGCAAGTCGCTGAAGAGCGGCGGCGGAGGTAATGCTACCTTCTAGCTTCACAAGGTATATACTCTCTGCTTGAGTCTTGGAAGAAGAAGACGACGAAGTAGGGCTCTGGGCCTTGGCTTGGCGGTATAGCCATCGAGAAGACAAGCTGTATTCGTACGCTTGCTTATCGTACCCCAGACGTTTTTTCTCCTGGCTGATCTCCTGCCAAGCCAAGAAGGGGATGGATGTGCGCCCTAAGTCGGCCCTCCAACTGCCGAGTTCCTTGATGGCTTCCTCTTCTGCAAAACCAAAGAGATGCTGCCATCGCTGTATTTGCTCCTTGGGGATCTCAGCGTCGGAGCATTCGAAGGGATTGAAAGAGGCAATGTTATTAGCAAGATCTTCGCAAGCTTGAAGGATGTCCATCTTGTCTAAAGTAGAAAGGAATTTGGAGAAATGATATCGAGATCTGTCAAAGTGGATGAAGAAGGAAGGCAGGCTAAATCAAGATCTGTCAAAGTGGGTGAAGTAGGGCAGGATAAATAAAGATCTGACGAGCGGGCCGGCCCGACGGCGAGGGAGTCACTCGCGTTAGGGTTTACAGAGTTTGCCTTCTGTATGGCTGCAGCCTTAAACTAGCAGAGCTTACTTTTGCCTTTTATATTCCTTGTGTAAGATGTCGGGTCTAGCGGCTTCTATTACTGTCTTTTACTATATGAGTCAAAGCTACTCAAACTCTCAAGCCTATCTAGGGACCCCACACATGTGGTGGGTGGTTAGGTCAACCCAAGTTGAATTGTAAGTCATTAGTGAAGATTTAGTTGTCGGTCTGCGCAAACTTTAGTACATTGCCATAGGCTGAAGCGGGTAAACACGCAGACAGGGAATATAATAGTCAGAACAAGTTCGATTTTAACAGATAGGCACTAATAGGTTATGCTATATAGATAAGACATAGCTTGAAGATCTATTCATAGGCTTTCCCGAGACGTCTATTTTTATATTGTTTAATATAGGACTCGTTGTTCAGTCGGCGCTGTAAAATGCACCTAATATGATTTAAAAAAATATGCGAGGAGAACAACTTAGCCATTTAACCCCCTCCCTTACAATGTCTTGAGCCAGCCGGTTCTAGTGCCAACCCTTGATAAGTTGAGGATGGTTTTTGCAGGAGTAGATTCGTTCGCGACATGTCCCTCATTTCTCTCGCGATATCAATCTCGCTTTGGGAATGCCGAAGACTACAGGGAGCCTCTGAGACTTCTCCTTAGCAGGGAGATGACGCGAGTACAAACTGACCTAGCATTTATCTACACTTTTTTAAATTTCAATTACTTTTTAAAGCACTTGATGTTCTTAATATTTACTATTATCACTTTGGTAAATGTTCATTAGATTAACTAGCTTCACCTCAATCATCTCAATTCCACCAAGCTCGAAGCTTTTCACCGGTCCAAGCACAAGCTTACATAAATTGGAACAGCATCGGTCGATCCTGAGTGCAGCATCTCATCTCTTTCCTCATCATTCGCCCAATAATACTCTTCGTGCTTCCACAGGGGCCATTCCTCGAGGTCTATGAAGCGCCCGGTTCGGACTCCTTGACGAAAATCCTCTTGCTTACAATCAATCACTTCCAATAAAACTGTCGCCTCTGTGGACCAATCATTCCAAGCTCGAATTCTGTCTGGCAGTGGGGTGCTTTCTGTGTTTCGATTGTATTGATCGTAACCGCCAAACACGTACAGTCGCACTGACAGCACAAGATTTGACCACTGATCACGCAGCTTCTTCAAATTTCGTGCCCAGTGATCGTTGATTGGCGCCATTTCACTACACCAAAATCTAACATCGATACTGTCAACATTCGGCAGGTGGGACTTAAGGAGCGAGATGTCGGCAATCAAGGTCTTTGCGAAAGCTGCGGCATCTTTCTTTAGATACCACCAGTCATGACAAGATTCACCGTCCTTCGAGTAATGAGACTGAGTCTGTGAGACCTCAACAATCAGTCGATTGCTCCTAGTCTTCATCAGTTTCGAACAGGTTTCAAGATGTGGCAAAAGTCTACTATGGCTGGTGCTATATTCGCTTGGTTCTTGAACTGGTAGAACGATGACATGGTTCTCGTAAAGACGACTTTGGAGGTCATTGCTAATAATTGGGTGCACATAAAGAAGAGGCAATACGCTGGACGTGTATGCAGTTTTAGCGATAAGTATATTGCTATGCGGGATGTCGACTGGGACTAAGTCGTAGATTATATTCCGGACCTCCCGAGGCAAGGATAGAAAAGATACTGGCTCAGCCATGATGGAACTAGAGTGAAAGCTGTAGATGAATTATGCGTGGAGGAATCAAAAGCAAAAACAAATGGGAGCCACAGAGCAGCCACGTGTCAACACGCTTTAAATAACTTAGAATTACTAAGACTTATCTAGTCACTATATTTAGATCCTGCTTCCTTAGACCTGTTCTTCTAGCTTACCCTATAGCTGATGTAGCTTAGATGGAATCGATTATGAGCAAATATAATTACTAGCATCGACTATTAAATTGTTAGTACTAGTGGGTTTATCTTGACTCCAGAATATACTCTTTTCACATACAGTTGTTATTTCGAATAGTTGCTATAGACTGGGGATCATGTTGTCCACACTGTCAAGAGAGTAGGTTTATTTGTCCAACCAACAGCTTAGCCGCACGGTTAGAGAAATTATATAAGGAAGCCACTGATCGCGATTGCGAGAGACGACAAAAGGGACCTTCTAGGAGTTGCTAGAACGGTGGACAGTGTAATACTTCACAGGCTTTTTGTTATGAGATCAGGAAATAAGACCAGGAGATAATGTCGCAGCAAGACTCTCACATGTAAACATGCGCCTCTGCGAACGGGTGTAGCTTAGTCATACAGCATGCATGAATTGTACACCATCCTGACGCAAGGTGTCACAACGGGATTAGCGCTCAGCAGCAGGTGAAAATTTGCTGGGTACTTTATCACTATAAACCCTAGTGAGGATACCTGAGTTTTCAATAATGGAGGTAGGAGCGGTCTGTCGAGAAAGGGGTTGTTGCGTAACAGCAATACCGCACAATATCAATTCAATACACACACATTATTGACCCAAATAAGCACTTATCACTAGCCGTATCCGCTTGAATCCGGCATGAATCCACCCTGATTATAAAGCAGCAGTACTTAAGCAAAGCAATATAGGTCATTGGAATAAATACAGAGATTACCCCGCGCTGGAAATTAGCAACGAAGCCTCCAATCCTCATCTAATTGCTATCAAGCCTTTATCCAATAAATCAGTTGTTAACTATCATAATTTTCATAATGCCTTCCGATATCATTTGGCCTGAGAAGTACCTTCCAGGTACAACAGATAATTATGTATCCAATGAGGTCATCGTAAAGGGCCTTACCGCCGCGCAAGTCTGGCCCTTCCTTGTCGACATTAATCAATGGGAATCATATTATGACAATTGCTCCCGGATAACACCACCATCATCTGGGTCTATTCTTAAACAGGGGGATAACTTCAAATTTTCTACTTTCGGTTTCGAGCCTCTCCCAGCTCAGGTTGTTGAGTCTGTAGCTCCGACTGAAAACTCGCCCGGTCGTATCGCCTGGCGGGCTTGGCAAGATGGAGATGAAAATACATCGCTGGATGTTTACCATGCTTGGATAGTGGAGGATCTTGAATGGGGTGTGGTGCGTATTTTGACGCAAGAGTCTCAGATTGGCAAGCCAGCGGTCGAATTAGCTAACCAGAAACCAAACCCCATGCTGCTGGGACATCAAAATTGGCTGGATAGTTTAGTTGAATATACGAGGACGAATAAGAAATAACTTATATATTGCTCAATATCTTGCGCTTGAACAAGAAGGGGATTTTTAAGGTGTTAGAGGGAACAAAGGTCAATCAAATCACAAGATCAATTCTAGACCATGTTGCCATGTTGTTGACTGGCTCTTCGTGTATTTCCGAAGCCTCCTCAATCTTTTTCGGCATCTTCCGCCACCTTCGTACAATTCTGGCCATGGCGCCTAGCAGAGGTTTGCGCACCAAAACATACCGGGATTTCTCACTCCGTTTGTTGGCCATCTCCACGATCTTCTTCTGACCCCCAGATAATAGATTAAGCAAACTCTTTAAGCAGCCGGTTCACATTTGATACCATATTGCTTCCACAAGCCCACCCAGCCCAAGACCGATCGTTGCTTGCCTGACCTACAGCAAGGACGCCCCAAATATATCTACCACTATCCAGAGTCTCCCAGAATGGGCCGCCGGACTGACCGCCATAAAGGTCAGTATCAGTCCAAAATGGGCCATTTCCATCACAGCTCCATTCCTTGTCCAAAAGTTTGTTGTTGTTCTGGCGGTATGGCCTCATCGTATTGTCCTTATCACCTGGGTAGCCCATGTGGTCGAAACCAACTTGCCCAATCTTGGACTTGTCTGGAGTCTTGACACCAAAGTAGCCTCGCTCGTCACCTAGACGCTTGTTGATGATGATGACAGCCCAGTCTCCCTTGTGGCGACAGTCACCCGTCGCCTCGTCGCCAATGGTGATAACGTGCGTTACATCACCATAGCCCAGCTTCGCCGTCTGGTCAAAACCAGGAGCAAATTTTCCACTTACGCCACTCTTGATGCAGTGTTTGGCAGTCAAGACATGGCGAGGACCGACCAATGCGCCGGAACACACGGCACCATTGGACCAGTATAGTCTGCCAACTGATGCATAAGGAAAGGAAGTGCTTGGAAAGAGGACGCGGTCATCCGGTCCCTCAATATAGTCGCGTTTGTCTGCCTCTCCGCTGGATGGTGAGCCCGGGGGAATATACGGCTCGATCTTGGAGAGAGTCTCGTTTGAGAACTGCTCTTCACTCAATTTGACAATCTCTGGGATGATATCATTTGCCGAAAAGAGCCGGACATACGAATTGTCATAATATGTCAAGTCTGAGGTAGTTTGAATGATCTCCTCGTTTTCAGGGATGGGGTTGGCAGAGACATAAGACAGGAGGCAAGCGTATGTAGCTGCCGGAAAGAGGAAGTTGACCATTTTGAACTGGCTTTAAGACTCCGTCTTTATGACAGCGGCTGATAGTAGTTGTTCCTGGCTATTCGAAGGCTGAGCTGTGGTGGGATGGACGGTTCATTATATAGTAGTTGAGGTATTATCGAGGTCTTGTTTTCCCTGCCTCATTTGTCAAATCTATGGTATACTTTGCGGTAATTTGATAGATTAATGGTCCAAAAGGCCTTTCGACACAAGGAACAGGGGCGCCAAGCCTTGATAAAATTAAATGCAACGCTCCCACATCCTGGGACAAACTACATTGAGGCAAACTGTGCCCATGCGTTGCTATCCCGCTGGTCTGTGTTGACCCACGCAACCCCCGGCCCAACTTGGCATGCTTTGAGATAATATACGAGCCCTGGGTTACTGAGAGGCAAATGAACTTTGGTGCTGCTATTTCATTCCACTCTGCCAAGGGAATGCCCGGCAACATGATCCTACTAATTGCCTGATCAAAATCCTTATGGGCATGAGAAGTTCTCTTTATTATCCCATTACCGCCTATGTGGCTATTGTACTTGTTAGGCGGGCGATTGACGGTTACGTTTTCTGGAATTGCCCGGTACAACAGCAACAACACCTGCTGGATTCGATCACCAAATCCATGGACACTATAAAATGAGGACAATGGTGCATCTCAGAGAAGAAAAGTCATGCCAAACTCTGACAAATAGCATGTAGATAAGAAGAAGCTGCAGAACTTCAGCCGAGTTATAATGTCAAGTGATATAGATCAGAGCATAGCAAATGAAGTTGGTCTACATATTGCGTATAATAGCTATTACTCAAGGGAGTAGATATTTTGTACTATATTTAGTCAAGTGAGCTGTTCAGTAATTTAAGACTTATTAATCGTTTCGTGAGGTCCCACTCGATAAATGAATCCTCTGTGGCAAAGCCAACTCGGCTATTGTCAAATACAGCAATAAATGCTACGCTTTTTAATCCTTGCTGCTTTCAATGGTCACGAAGTAGAAATGCGGCGTCGGCTGAACAGGGCTAAACGCTCACGCCATCAATACAATGTGTTACACTGAAGAAGAGACAGATTGCATGCTGTCGAGCAGTTGCCGGCATGATCTCACATCTAGTGTCGATTGTTCGCTTTAGGTTTGACCCGCGATGACTGAGATCATAGGCCCGACGTTACTGCAGTCCCCCTCCAAGTGGAATGGCTACCAAAATGGACAACAATAAGGAAACAAGTGCTCGGCCGAAACGCGATCACGTCTACTCGTCTAGATTTCAGTGACGGACATGTGGAAGTGCGTATCGTTTTATCCGCAAGAATTCCTGACTAGCTAATCCACTAAAGGATACGAATTTACAGCTTTCTTAGGCTTTTAAGTTACTCTTATAACCTCTATTTAATTTTATTATATAAACTTATATTATTATTAAATATATACTTTAATTAATATATTCTAATAGAGATATACTATAAAGGTTAAACTATAGAAAGTAATTATAAATATTTTATAGTAGTTATTACTAGAACTTACTATATAACTAGTATAAAGTTTACTAAGCTATTTATATATCTATAAAGGTATTAATTAGATCTTTAAGATTAAGTAGATATATAATTATAGCTAAGGAGATATTAACTTACTTATAAAAGTAATATTAAGCTATCTAAATAAAGTAGTAGTACTAATAAGCTACTATTTTTACTAGGTGCCCTAATATAATATAAGATTAAAACAGGTAGATTAAACTCTAATTTCCCCTAGCTGCTATAAGCTATATTCCAGATTTAGTATTATTATATATAACTCTCTTTAGGCTCTATCGCATGATCTTTATATAATATCTACCTATATAAATACTTTACAGCGTTTTTATTTATATAAAGTTTAAATCTATATCTATAACTCTCCCTTATTTATTAATAGATATCCTTTACCACTATATTCTATAAGTGTGAGCATTCTATATAGAGGTAGAAATTCCTATCTTAACGTTAAAGCCTTACTCTTACTATATTAGCCCAGCCTAGCTAATTCAGCCTATGAAAATTTATTGAAACGTGAGGACAGGTGTTAAGTTTATTTATATATGTTCGGAGTAAGTCTAGGGTAGAACACTCCGTCTCGGAGTATAAGTGAGCGACATCTTTTCACTGGATGTTGGTATTTTACAATTGCCACTATAGCTGCCGGATTTTAAGTTTGTGAAATGTTGGACGAGGGACTTCTTCAATCAGGGAGGAAATTGTTTCTCCACGTTGGCATTGCCCATTCATTTTACAGAGCGTAAAATGCCCCGTCAACATGCGTTCCTACCGATACGAAATACGACGGTATAACAAGTTGCTCTCGGAGAATTACTGGGGGAATGTTAACACCTTCCGTTGGTTTGCCCCTTGAGGCGGGATTTATCAGCAATAGCCTGCAAAATCCTCCTCTCGTTCTTGCCCTGGGCGAGATAAATTATTAATGTGTATTTATCAGCCAATACACGAGCAATGTGCGCTTACGATTGGAAAGCCGAGACTACTAATACTGGGCCAAGTTTGTCAGCAGCGTATTTGTTTGCTCGTACAATATAACTCTTGCGCAGCGCCCAATTTTTTTCATCCCATATGGTTGATCCAGGGGTAAATCTAGCTACTTGCAATCTTTTACTCGCTTTTTCATTCAGTTCCCGCCATGGCTACCGTTAACGCTATTGTGTTCGGTGCGACCGGAACGGTCGGCGCCGCTACGGCTCGTACCGCGAAAGAGCAAGGCGCAAAGGTTTTTCTAGCCGTTCGGGATATCAACAAACCAATGCCGAATATTACTCTCGAGAAGGAACTGAAGGAAGGATTCGGCCGAGTTGAGGCCGACCTGTCTATGCCCGACACACTTCTAGCCGCAGTAACCAAGACAAAGGCAACACGGGCTTTCATCTATCTTGCGCCCAGCTCTCCTGACAGCATGAGATCCTGTTTCAGAGCACTAAAGTCGGCGGGGATTGAGTTCGTAGTCTTTCTCAGTAGCGCTGGCGTTCGGGGCGACCCTAGGAACGCCACCTCCGATAACGCTATAGCCTGGGCTCATGCACAGGCTGAGATCAGTCTCGAAGAGATATTCGAGAGAGAAGGATATGTGGCTATTCGACCTGCTTTTTTTGCGACAAATTCGTTTTGGTGGAGGGAAATGATACAAGCCGGCGACGCGAGACTTTTATATCCACATGCGAGATTTGACTGGATCTCGCCCGGCGACATCGGGCGCGTCTGTGGCACGGTTCTTGTCCAAGAGCGACCGGCCCTTGACGGTCCTGACGGAAAATACAATGCTATACGTCTATATGGACCGCAGCTGTTGTCTCAAGGGGACGGGATAGCTGCGATTGGAAGGGCGATCAACAGGGAGGTCAAGATAACCAGCATCGACGAAGAGGAGTTTCTCGACCTTCTTATGACACAAATGCCTAGAATATGGGCGGAGGATCTCGTGGCTATTCAGAGAGTAAGAGCTGGCATAGATGATGACGATGGCTTCTATGCAGCGCCTACGCTCGCGGAAGCTTCAGCTAATATTGAGAAGTATACAGGGAGACTGGCAACGAAATTTGAAGAGTGGCTAGATGAAAACAAAGAGCTCTTTAGAGCCTAGAAGTTACTGGGGACGTGAGTCTAGGGTTATAAAATTATAAACGTAGACAGATTTAAAAATGAAGCAACACCTTTCCATTAACTGGTAGAGTGGGCTCATTGCAAACATATATCCAGTTTATGGTAGTAAAGCCTTTATACTGAAACTCATCTTCACTGGCCCACCGCCGCTAAATACCTGTGAGGATGCAAGAGACGGACATTAGGAATTATAGATACGATACTTGTAGATGAGGACGGAGGTAGGGCCTTGCATTGTCGTCCGAACCATACGGGTCTTACGCGATGGTGATTAGTAGCAAGTACAATAATTTTGCACTGTTAAGAGCATGAGTAAGTAGGATTATCGTGCCGTCATTGGCCAATGCTGTTGTTGTTGTGTTGGTGTTGCTTCTTTGATATCACTCGACCTTCGCCTCATCCATTGTACCGTCCATTGCGCATTTTCCGGATAATTAATTACTAAACATCCCGACTAGGCCGCGACCAAGCTCCGCCCACAACGGAACACACTTCCCAATCTCAGAGGAAGCCGGCGGAGCATTGCCTCCTCCTGCTTCAATGCTTCAATCGTGGGGTTAGAGTAGTCCACATAAGCCGAACCAGAAAATGCTTAGCACGTGGGAATGGAGTGATCCACACTGCATTGACACATTCTTACTTCCTGTATCGGTCTATTGGAGCAGTGTCTACGCACAGTATCATCCATCTGGAACCTTTTTCGATTCTTTGCCCCGTTTCTGTTGGGAATGGGTACCAAAATTAGATATCCGCTTTGGTATCCGAATCTGGTTGCCTGTTGATGCACGGCGACATACTTGCAAGAGTAATACGAGGTCAGCCGGCGTGATGCCAAGAGAGCTTTATAAGCAAAGGCGGCCAACCCCGCGTGCGGCGTGCCACGTAGATAAACCTGTGGAATAACGTCGAAAGCCACAGACGAGGTCTCCTTTTATCACTTGGCCTTATATAATTCGATCCTCAGCTAGTCAAGGTTCCTACGTTTCACTCGGTTAACAAACATCCAGTCTCCATACCCAAGCAGCACCATACACTGCCATGCCTCACCCAGCCGAAAGCTCAAGGGACCGCATCATCCTGGGTCTTATGACTTTCGGACCCAAGGTCGAAGACGGTGCCCGCATCACTGACCTAAATGTTTTAAAGAATGCGTTGGATGTCTTCCAAAGCCGGGGGTACAATGAGATAGACACGGCTCGAGTCTATATTGAAGGACAACAGGAAGCATTCACTCGCGAAGCTGGCTGGAAGGAGAAGGGTTTCAGCTTGGCGACTAAGGTCATCTATCCCAGCAATCCCGGGGATAACGCCGCAGACAAGGTGGCCGAATCTGTGGAGACCAGCCTTAAGGAATTAGGCACTAACTGCGTCGACGTGAGTTCATTGCTCTCCTGGGACACGCGCTTCCTGGACTCAAGGCTAACCTTGACTGAAGCTCCTGTACCTGCATCGCGCAGACCGATCCGTTCCCTTTGCGGAGACTTTAGGAGCTGTAGACAGTCTCTACAAAGCGGGAAAGTTTACACGCCTGGGCATCAGCAACTTCACGGCGTTCGAGGTGGCTGAAATCGTGATGACGTGCAAATACAATGGCTGGGTACGCCCCTCTGTTTATCAAGGCATGTATAACTGTATCACACGCAGCATCGAGCCGGAGCTTTTTGTAGCCTGCCGCCGTTACGGCCTTGACATCGTTGTATACAACCCCATCGCGGGCGGTCTCTTCTCCGGCAAGATCAAGTCTAAGGATCTCGTCCCCGATAGTGGCCGCTTCTCGAATGTGAGCTCCTCAGAGGGTTCTAATTATCGTGACCGCTACTTCCGCGAGAGCACATTCAGGGCGCTACAGCTAGTCGAGAATGCGGTTGAGAAGCATAGCCTCAGCATGATCGAGACAGCCCTTCGATGGATGGTTCATCACTCCAAACTCCAAATCAAGGACGGCAACGATGGCATCCTAATCGGCATCTCAAGCATCCAACAACTGGAGAGCAATCTCGATAACTTGGAGAAGGGACCGCTGCCGCAAGAAGTGGTGCAAGCGCTGGACGAGGCATGGCAAGTCTCGAAGGCGGATACACCCAACTACTGGCACGGCGATCTCACGTACACATACGATACGCATGAGGCGCTTTTTGGCAAGGATTTCGACTGAAAAATGGTCATGCCTCAGTTAATATTAGAGTAGCCCACTCTTGTTTTGCTTTCATGGTGTTGGCTCTCGGCCATCCGCATTCCGTCGCGTGCATGTATCACAATCGAATGGTAATAGGCTCACTCTGTGAGGTTAGTGATCTTGCTGTGATTGGAGGACGAAACGGGCATATCCGATGTCACGCGTCGGGCGTATGCACAGTCGTAACATACCTCAATACACTCTTTTTACCACATTTCCTTTCTCTTTCGTTCTCAACTCCCAGCACTCATGGGGGTCACATACGGAGTAGCAGCGAAGAAATTTGTTTCCAGAGTCGCTCGCATGATGCTCTTAAGCGAGGAATACGATACGGGTTTGGCGTAATTTGCCAATGGCTCGCTTCCCCGCTGTCCTGGGGCCCGTGCCTTTTACGAGTAATACGAGTCCTTTGGTGTTCTCGACCCACTAAGGTAAGAGCTCGCTTAAACTTCCCCTCACCCTCCTGTAGTCGGAATGTTTCGCATGAGCGAAGAGAGGAGAGGAGAGAGTCCATGGGAGGTACAGGGCAGAACAGCACAAACAACCATAATCACGACGAAAAGCCCAACAAAGCATCAGAATCCCGGCATAAAAATGTTCTTAACAGCTCTACTACTGTGTCTGCTCCCATGGGCATTGGCACAAGTCGCGTACGACCCAGACGACAATTCAAGGCCCAACAACATTACCGGCCTCTACTATCCGGTCTATGGGTCAACTGGTTCGTGAGTAACTATCATTCACTGGATTTCCCACTTAAAATGAGACCAAGGTACTAACACTCCATAACTAGGTACTATAATGGCTCCATCACCTTCCAGCTGGATCTGCAAGATCGCAACCTGGACGACGACGACTCGGACGAGTACTCCGGTACTGTATGCCACAGTTTCATCGACAAATCCATATCATTTACCTACACCGCCATGGCTGCAATCACTAAAAACAGCCCTGATTACCCAACTACCAACCCTGTCGAGATCGACTTATACGCCGTCGATGAGGCTTTCAACTTAACGTGGTCTTCTGGGATGAGAAATTATAGCGAGTACCAGACTTTTGAACTTCACTCCGCGAATTCGTGCGTGCTCCTTCCCCTCATATTTATGACCGGGGTACACGCAGCCTGAATGAATGAGAGATGGGTGTATTTCAATCCTTCATACTCGTGCTGACTCAACCTCCCAATTCGGTCAATAGGGCAATCCAAAAAATTTGGGACTTCTCTCTACGAAATTCCACCTCCCCGGGTTTCAAGGTAGCAGGACAACTTTCGAAGGAAGGCGTACAGACCCAAGCTCTCAAACTCAACCTCACTCACGCCTGTGGAGACGAGTCCGCGGCGGGTACACGCGACGAGGACGAATACCTCTTCGATGGGGGCCTAGTGACTCCGAATTGGAACGATTTTACTTGGGAGAGCTGGGCGGATTCAGTCCCGTGGCCGAGCCTCGAGGTGGAGTTTGACAACAATAAGGCTTCGATTGAGATTGGCGGGTTATTTAGCCTTTTCACTGCGAGCACAGCTATTGTTGGGCGCATTACGATCGCCTTTCTGGGGAACTTGGATGAGTTGAGATCTGATGAGTTGCTGACGGGAGGAGATCGGCCGGAGTGGAATGGTACGCTTGGCTTCTATGGGGAGGGTTTGGATGCCAACTTAAGCCTGAGAGCTTGCATAGTAAACGGTTGGTTGATCTTAGGATCTACGTTGCTGGCCATGGGGCTTGGATTCTGGTAGTTCTACACATACGAGGTTGATGCAGAAAGTTTTCCCGGTGGGTCGGTCCACAGGGCCCTGTCAGGGGGTAGGCTAGATGTACCTTTTCAAAACGTTGTCGGTAGAAGATTTGGTCCATATTTGGAAGCATGCCAACCTATGCGAGGTCAAAAGTGTCCCCGAGGCCGAGTGGAACTGCTCTGTGCACCGGCCTCTCTTGGCCTCCTCTCCCCTCTTTGTTGACCTGCGTTCCGGTTTGCGCGCGCTTGCCGTTCTGCCCCCCGCGTTTCTTCTTCCCCCTTCCGGGCTGCCCAGCCTGGCTCGTCTCGTCGTCGTCCTCGATAATAATTAATTAGGAAACCCTAGCAATTTACAAGAGCCTTACCATTATACGAGCTATCTCGGCCTGAGGTTATAGAGAGGATTTTAAGACTATTATTAATTAATTTAAGCTTTTTAATATAGATATAATAACCTATATTAACCTATAATAACTATATAGTAATTATAATTAAGCCTTAGTATAATATCAGAAGGAATTAAAGAATATTAACTCCTATATCAGTTTTATAGTTAGTTTTAGATTATTATAGTTATTATATATAATAAGCTATCTTATATTTCCCAGTAAGCTAAACTATATCTTAATAGCTTTAATTATCTCCTTAGGGTTAAGCTATAGATCTAGTATATTTAAACTACTAGTATTAGAATACTATTATAGAATCTATATTATAACTTTAGTAAAGCTCTATTAAATAGATAATTTATCTTTAATATTAAGCTAAAATATTATAGAGAATTTATTCTAGTACTACTTTATATATATTATAATAAGTTATATCTTACTAATACTATTTAAACTATATAGAATAATAATATAATAGTCTCTATCTGAGTTTAGTATTCTATATATCTTTATAATTTTACTCTCTTATATAATAAAATATTAGATTTTAGGAACTTCTAATAGACTAAAGATAATAGAGAAGTTACTTATATAGGTTTCTAATTATATCTATTAATAAGCTTATTCTTTAATAATTATTAGAATATCTTTACTTTTTATAGTTTTTTATAATAGTTAGATAACTTATATTAGATAGGGTTTAGAATAGATCAGGATTAAACTAATTAGAATATTATTCTGAGTAGTATAATTAGATTATCTTAAGCTATATAATATAAGTTACTATTAATATATAAATATTATAGAGCTAGTAATAATAAATATATAGATAATTATATTAATAACTATTTAAAGAGATATTCTATCTAGTAAAATAAATATATATATATAATAGTTATAGAGTATAAGGAGTATACTACTTCTGATAATCTCTTTCTATTCTATAATAGGAGTATAATACTCCTATTACTTCTATTTCTTAGATAGTAAGATATATATAACTATATAGCTTATTATAGAAGCTTTTATTTATAATATAATACTCTCTCTTTATTAGTTTTATTCTTAAGATTCTATATAATTTTAATAAGTTCTTTTCTTCTTTATATATAATAGCTATATTATAATATTTATTATATCTAATTATATTTAGAAACTAGTATATTCTAAGATTTATAAATAAGTTCTTCTTATTACTACTATTTAAATATTTAGTTTTCTAGCTAATATATTATATACTCTATATTTTAGAGTAAAAAAAAAGTATTTTATTCTTCTAAATAGAAAGTTATTCTAGTATAATAAATATATATAAAATAGTTATTATTATAATAAGGTATTAGTTATATCTAACTATATATATCTCCTTATATATCTTATTTATATTCTTTTAATTCTTCTTTTAAATAGAAAAATTAATAATATAATAGAAAAAGTTAGTAGAAAAAGAATCTAATATAGATAAGAAGATTCTTCTTTTATATTAATAAATAACTTAATTTTAAAGTAATCTATCTACTATCTTAGAGTATATTTAGTATATTTATAAGATATATAGGTATATTAAGAGTAAGATATAGTAGGAGATTTAGTATAATCTTTAAAAGCTTAATAAGGAAAAGTAACTATCTTTAGATCAGGTTTTTAGCTTTTTTAAGGCTTCTAAGTAGTATACTTTAGAGGAAGTCTAGTTCTTAGGGGTTATCTCTAAAATAGATTTAAATTTACTAAGCTTTAGAGAAGATTTTTCTAACTTAGTTCTCTTTTTCCCTTTTAATAGAACTAGTAAATTAAATATTAGTATTTCTTTAGATATTTAATAGGTTTTTATATATTATTATTATTAGTATATCTTTTCTATTTAACTAGATAGAAAGTTTATTTATTTCTAATCTTCTTTTTTAGGATTTTCTCTAGTTTAAATTCTTCTTTATAGACTTTAATTAGATAATCTTAGTTTAGTATATTTTTTAATACTTTTTTAAATAATAAGATATAAAAAACTAGATAGATATATATTATATCTAGTAATAATAATCTATAATTAGTATTTAACTTTTTCTTAAGAATTTTAAATAGTTTAAGTTTTTTATAATTTAATTTATTATTTAGTCTTATTATTATAATATTTTTATAAAGTAAATAGATCTTATCTTCCTTCTCTAAGATTAGTTCTTCTAATCTGATTTTATTATAATATTTTTTTATTTTTTATTAGATAAATTTAAATTCTATTTTTATTTCTATATATAATAAATATATTATTTCTTTTATTAATATAGTAGCTAGTATATTAGATTTATTAAGTTCTAATTAATTCTAGAATTATAGTTTATAACTATAATTTATATATATAAATATAAGTTAGATAGATTCTTATACTAAACTATTATAAGTAATCTATACTATTAGTAGTAATTATATCTAATTATCTTACTTATAGTTAATATATATTTATAGATATTACTTTAGAGTTTAATTTAATTATTCTATTTAACTATTACTTTATAGATAATAAGCTATTAAGAGTTTATACTTAGTATCTATTTATACTATAAGTAATTATTAAAATTTAGAGATAAATATTATTTCTCTATTTAATATAATTTTATTAGATAATCTATAATAACTAATTATATATTATAGGAATTAATATATAAGATCTTTTATAGAGTTTATTTTCTTATATAGAATAAAGTATTTATATTTTATAAATTTATTAATAATTATTAGAATATTATTATATTCTACTCTAGTTATAGATTTTTTTAATAATAGTAGTTTAATAATATAATTAAAGAATACTAATTATTATAGTTATTCTAATACTAGAACTAGTTTTAATTCTCTATAGAGTTTATATTATATAAACTTAATTTATATATAAGTATTATATTTAGAAACTATAATCTATATTTCTTTTTATAGTTCTAGATAATTATAATATTATCTAATTCTATTAAATATTTTTTTAACTCTTTAGTATTTTAAAAGTAAATATTTATAGATTTCCTTAATAAATATTATTCTAATATCTTATTATAATTTTTCTAAACTAAGAATAATCTCTATTTAGATCTTAATATATATTATTTCCTTAAATATAGCTTCTAGGGTTTTTTATATTAAGTATTCTTTATTATTAATTAAAAATAATTATTTATTTATTTTTAGAACTATTTTCTTATATTTAGATTTCTAGCTAAAAGTATTAGCTCTTTTATTTTCTAATTCTTTCTAATATATAATTTTATAATTAAATTAAAATAGATATTTAATATAGTATATTTATTTTCTATTTAGTTATTAAGTTATTATAAAGTACTAAATATTCTTATAATCTATATATATTTTAATCTTATATATTATTTCTAAGTAATAGTATTTAAATTCTTTAAATATATATATAATAATTACAAATTCTTTATTATAAATTAAATAATTAAGTTCTATATTATATAATTTCTTTAAGAAAAATATTATAGAATATAATACTCTATTATTATTTCTTTAGCTAATTTATATACTAATTATAAAGTTTAAAATATTTATTTTAAGTTTAATTTCTTATATAGAATTAAATATCTATAGTATAAATTCTAAAAGTATTTAGTTCTTAATTTTATTAAATATCTTTTACTATTTATTATTCTATTAGAATTTTATTTCTTTTTTAATAATATTATATAAAAGTATAATAATTTTTCTATAATTTTTAATAAATTATTAATAATAATTAATAAATCTAAGAAAGATTTATACTTTCTTAATAGTTTTTAATACTTTCTATTCTTTAATTATAATAATCTTATCTTATTCTATTTATATTTTATTTAGTTAAATAATATATTCTAAGAAATTAATTTCTTATATATAGAAAAAACTTTTTTCTAGTTTTATAAAAAGTTTTATTTTTTCTAGTTTTTTTAAAACTTAGTATATATATTCTTTATATATTTTTAGATTATTAGAGAAAATTAAAATATTATTAAGATAAATAACTATAAAGATATTAAAATACTTTTAAAATATCTAATTAATTATTTATTAGAATATTATAAATATATTTATTAGTTTAAAAAATATAATAAAATACTTATAGAAATTAAACTTTATTCTAAATATTATTTTTTATTTATTTTCTTTCTTAATTTATATTAAATTATAAGCTCTTTTTAGATTTAGTACTATAAATTACTATTTACTTTATAATTAATCTCTAAATTTAGTAATTAGTAATAAGAATATTCTATTTTTATATATAATCTTATTTAGCTATTAGTAATTAATAATTAGATAGAGTTTATTATTTTTCTTTAGTATAAATATTATAAAGTATTCTATAAATAAAATTAATAATTATATATAGCTTTTTATTAATATATTATTAATATATTTATAAAGTATTTATAACTAAAGTTTTATAAAATTATATAATTTATAAAAATTAGATTTTTTTTCTTTAATAATAGAAATTTTATAATCTTACTAGCTATATTCTAATAGCTCTATTTTAAGTTCTTTTATAAATAATATTTTCTTAAAATAATTATATTTCTCTAGAATATTTTTAAAATATTCTTTCTATTTTAAATACTTAGCTTATTTATAT